TAAGTAGAGACTTGCATCAGCTGGTTGGTGCCTTGGGTGGAAGGGGAGAATGGATAACACTTAATTCTTGATCTCCTTGGACTGACAGCCAAAAATGATATTGGAAAACAATAGTCCCCTACCTTTAGGTCAGCAAAACTCCCTGGGGAGAGATGGGGAGAGATTAGACTAGCTTCTAGAAATCTGTTTGGTGGCTTTTAGTTTTCTCTCTTCCTTTCAGGAAACCACTAAAGCAAGTGTTTTCTTGTCATCCACTTATGATTTTTGCAGTTGCAAATTGAATGATTTTACCCTGGATGCTGATGTGTCTTCATATATTATTGGTTGTGGTGTTATAGCCACTTATTGCTAAACGATTTGTGCTACTATTAGCAGCATATTGGCATCAGTCAGCAACTCCTGTAAGCGTGGGAAATCTTCCTTTGAGATCTTTTGAGTACCCATTTTATCTCCCATGCAATGTGGTAAATACCTAGGGGATACTCACATTCCATCCCCTCTTCTCCTTGCTCTGTACGTAGTAGAATCCTCCTCTAGTAAACTAGTGTTATTTTTAGTTATGTTTGCACAGAAAAACTTCATTCTCAATATCAGGGTTACATTTTGCACAGGGCAGTGCACTGAAATGGGGTTTTCATTCATGACTATAAAGAGAGCTGCTCTCTTGTGGAATTCACTACAAATGGCATGCCACTGTACGTTACGATGATTATTTTATTTTAACAAGGGGAATTTGTTTCCATCTAACTCACATTCCAGAGCTCCCTCAGTTTGATCCCAGGGAGAATAAATGAGTGTCCTTAGCTCTGTTCCACTTCCAGTTTACCACAATGGGTACCAAAAGACAATCTCAATAAAATCCATCAGTGTTAGGGGGCCATCTAAGGAGAAGTCTCTGCTTGAGGTGGCTTGCCATTTTTACTGTCCTAAAAGATCTGTCCCATATCCTCAGCTGTGTAAATCAATATTGCTCCACCGAAAGTAATGGAGCGTTTCTGATTTACACTAGCTGAGGATCTAGCCCATATTGCTGCTCCTGTTAGACTTGAGGTGGTATTTTATGAGGCTCATACAGTTGCTTCTTCAGTAATCACTGGATATACGCTGTAAACATCAGTATCCAGATCTGCCAGTCAGCCAGCTCCGCCTCCCCAATACTTCATCCTTTCAAATACATTTTAAGTAAGTAAAAATATTTGAAGCTTTGAAATGTGTTTCTCCCACTCCCCTCCACACACGCAGCACAGCATTAGTTGGATATGTGATTTCTTCTTGTGGGGGGTCTCTAATCTGCACATGTAGAAAGCTGGATGCTCTGATCTGGTCATTTCCATCTCTAGCTTCTCTCATCTTATGGATTTTGACACCGCTGTAGAATAGAACAGCCATGCTAGAATACAGCACAACTCTTTAGAAACTGGTTGTTGTTTTAAATAGTGTAATTTTATCATTGTATCGTGAAATTAATATTGAAAACAGAGGGACCTGTTCAGCCCAGGTGTCACCTCCATTGACTTCAGTGAGTTACACCAGGGAGAAATTTGGCCTATTTTGTGAATATTTTTTGGTTTTGTTTGTTTTTAATTAAACCCTTGGCATATTTCTATGTATAATCTGCCCTGTGTTCTCTGGGGATTGCCACTGCTTCTTGACATTGTTATGACTTTGGGTTTTCCCAGCAAATCATGTTCTGAAATGGAGTCTTCAAAATTACCTTTATTTAGAAGATCTGGCCAATGCAGTAACACACCATCACACAGAGGGTATCTATTATCCACATCATTAAGACACATTACAGTCAAAACCTGCACCGCTAGTCAGACTGTGGTGTCTTTCATAATAATAGACACTTCTTTGTAAATGCTTTCCTGCTCTACACACATGCATATGTTTCAATATGAGAATTAAAAGCAAGTGACAGAAATGACGGTACAATTGTTTGTGTCATTGACGCCATTGCTAGGATGGAACAAGACTGAGAACTCTCTTAAAACTCAGCAGTGTTATTTTTTTAAGGTTCGCCACAAGCCATCTCTTGTGACCTTTGGCTGATGGTTGGACTGTTTGGGGTTATTTGTTTATCTACCCTGAACACGGTTAATTTTTTCCTTCTGGCATGGTTTGTTTCTAAGGAATGTGTATCCTTATGTCATCCTCAGTAAAGGCCCTGTCTGCATTCTTTGCAAATCAGCATGAAGGAAATTTAAAATGGTTTCTTTCCCTCCCGTGGGCCTGTTAGAGGCCCATGGATTTGCTCAACTGGGCAAACCTGGTTTTCTGTGTGACTTGGCAGTAAAACCTGTATCCATTTAATTGAACCAGAAAAAAGAGTGTGCTAGAGCAAGATAATAAAGGGCTTTTGAATATCTCAGCTGGATATTTTTCTTCCTGAGTGAGAAGGCCAAATGTTATCTTGACATTTAATCTTTAATATTAAAAAATGGTGCTTTGTTTGCCAGCGTGTTCCAAAATAATCTGTTTACTCTCTTCTTGCCTTATTTCTTTTAACTTGCTGAATTAGATGACCTACTTACTTCCTCCTGTTACCAGTTACAAAGAGCCACATTGCACAATTTATTTTGTAAACTGGACTTTCTGACCACTGCAAAGCCATTGGTTGCCATTTTACGTTTGCTGGTTAATTGATCTAATTGAGGAGTATTTAACTCTAGCTGATACAGCTCAGTGAAAGATTGCTCAATTCTGAGCCAGTGGCATAATGGGAAATCCTGAATGATCATGTCTCAATGGACTTAAGACTCCCACAGTGTGTGATGCTGAAGGCTATGTTGGCTGTACCAAATTTGCATATAAATTGTTGTAATTTTTAACAAGGAGCTGATCCAAAGCCCATTTTGTTCATTTTGTCCAAAGCCCATTCTTAGAGTAGGACTATAACCTTTTCTGGGTGTCTCTTGACATTGAAATAGGACTTGCTCACTCTTCGATTTCATCGGCAATAAAAAACTGCAATTGATCAGCTCAGTTCTTACCTGCAGATTACAAGGAGAGGGCGTCTACAAGCTGCCACACTTCACTCATCCCCTGTTTAACTCCTAACTTCCCCTCCTACCTGAAGAGGGGTTCCAAAGAGGATGGAGCTCGGCTGGTCTCAGTGGTGGCAGATGACAGAACAAGGAGTAATGGTCTCAAGTTGCAGTGGGGGAGGTTTAGATTGGATATTAGGAAACACTATTTCACTAGGAGGTTGGTGAAGCACTGGAATGGGTTACCTAGGGAGGTGGTGGAATCTCCATCCTTAGAAGTTTTTAAGGCCCGGCTTGGCAAAGCCCTGGCTGGGATGATTTAGTTGGTGTTGGTCCTGCTTTGAGCAGGGGGTTGGACTAGATGACCTCCGGAGGTCTCTTCCAACTCTAATCACCTATGATTCTATGATTGTCTGCAGGAGACTCAGCAAAAAGAGAGAGGCCAAAACCCTGTAGCTGTACAGCCTTGAACTTTGGGGAAATACAAAACTTTGCAGCTCGGGCCTGTTTCTAATAGCTACTTTATACTAATAATTCGGAGATAATGAAAGGTTGGGTATGACTGTGCAGTATTAAATTTCACTTTTAGTCTGTCTCTCTATACCTAGGTGGAACAGCCTGTGCAGTTAGATTTGAGAAGGACGGGTCTCTTCAGGGCATGGCGTGGATTCCATCTGGTAGATTTAGGGGTTTTTAGAAAGGTGTTTAAATACCCGCCTCTTCGGAGTTGATGACTAAAACTCAAACCTCGCTAACTATTACAAATAGAATGATAACTAAGGTTTATTTAATTGAGGTCTTGCCAGACTACATATCTTTTTGATTTATTTGTCTCTTCACTGTGCTTATTTATTTGCAAGCATCTTGTTCAGTGTAGTCTAATTAAATGAGGGAAATTGAAACCAACTGAGCAGTTTAAAATACATGTGTATATATACACTAACTTTATCTGGCTCGCAAGGGATGCTGTGAGAGAATAGGTGGGCTTAATGGTGCATACAGGCATGTCTCTCTGCACTTCTGTAAGGACCTTGGAAGTAACATAGGTTTATCTTGCAGCAAGCTATTTCCATATGAGTCTTCCTAGCCTGCTAACATTTCTCTTTGCAGTCAAGTCTTTTACTCATAAATTTTACATTGCAGAGTGATTGTGAGAAATGCCCAAATCTGATCATCTAACATGCTTAAAGATCCAAATTTATCTGTTAGCATCTTTTTCTGACTTAAAAAAAAAAATTCTTTTACTTCCCCTTAAGGAGGTGAGTGTCATAGATCCTATGGAATTCTTTTTTGGTTTTGATCTTCACTTACTTATTTTGTGCAGTTTTGGAGACAGAGGGAGGTCTTCGCTCTCCAAATCTAAGGAACAAAAAAAAAATCTCCTTCATAACAATTAAAAAAAAAAGTTACTCCAAAATGTTCCATTCCATACCATTTTTTTAAAAAAACCCAAACCTTTTAGATGTTGAAATCTTTATATAGCTTACAAATAAAAGGGCGGGGGGGGGGGAGGTTTGGTAAAGTATTGAATGGATCCAAAAATGATTTTACTAGATGTGATTTGCTTTATTTGCTGTCAACATTTTAATATCAATATTAACACAATGTGTAGTCTAAAACTAGTTCCTTTGTAGTTTGCATGGGATGTGAATGCTGTCTCGACGTGCCCAGATCTAGAAAACTTGTTACTACTGCATGAGCATCAAATCAGATGTTGAAAAATATCTATATAGTTTGTGATAATTTGGTGAAAATGAGCACCTACAGTCTCTGGTTGCAGTAGTGTGTTGAATGATTGTTTTTTTATATATATATATCTATCTATATATATTTGGAGCTCCAAGCTTCTTAGTAGTATGGGCTGACTATTATTCAGTACTTGCTCTCCTATCGCATGGCCTTGGTTAAGTGTTAGAAGTTGGGCCTAGGCTGTTTATTCTAGTGTTTGGCTTTGTAATAACTGTGCATGCTCGGCTTCTGGCCTCATACCCAGCTTTATTCTCTGCACACCAGTCTTGAATAGCTACAGTGCTCAACCGAATTTTGGCGCACCCGCTTCCCCGGCAGGCTCCAATCCAGCCCGGCCAGGAGGATTTCCAGGGGCTAACAGCCCAGGTCCAGTCGCAGACCTCTACGGTACAGCCAGTCAGGACTCCGGTGTTGGTAATTACATAAGTGCTGCCAGTCCTCAGCCAGGCTCTGGCTTTGGCCATGGAATCGCTGTAAGTAACCATTTCTTTCCCTTCTCCACGGGGGTAATTTGAATTTAGTTCAGGAGGGTTTTTGTTTTGTTTTTTAATTAAAAATGAATTGTGTGGTGCACTGCTCACGTAGCCTTTTACCATTTTGTGATACTATTCTGTCTAACTTGCTCAATTTACTAATAGACTTGTTTCAAAATGGCACACTCCACTGGCACTTGAATTATAAGTGGAATTGAAAATGCTTGTATGACCCCCCCTACTCCTCCATTATAGATTTGACCTACTTTAAACTGTAATATTTTAAAAAATGCTTAAAGTTTCTGTTCATTTTACATTTAAGTCTCTCTATTTCTGTAGAACAAATATTTTAGGCTGAGGCACCGAACGGCGTATAATGCCCCAATTCTTTATCTCTGTCAAAGAGAAAGTGGTCCTTTGCTTTAGCATCTCCAGTTCTGCAAACATACATGTCCTTAATTTAAAACCGATGAATAGTCCTACTCATGTCAATAGGACTAAAGTTAAGTACATGCACAAGTGTTTGCAGAATCGGAGCCTTAGTATGGAATTGAAGAAGAAAAGTTAGCCTGAGATGATGTGTGCACAACATGTTGATAACTAGTTTATTGCTAACATTTCTTGAAATTGGAAGGTCACAAGTAAGTCCCTGCTATTTTTTTTTCTCAAGTCGATGGGAAATATTTTCATGGTTCTATCATCTAACTAATATAGGCAATGGAAATTTACTTAACAAACTTGCATGCTGTTTTTCAGATTGTATTGTTTTACCTCTGTGCGTTAGCATGAATGTGTTTGAATCTGTTTAGTGGCTGTCAGTCTTTGAAATGGGAAATCAGCTACCCGAAAAAAAAATGTTAAGCAAACAATGAGATTTTTTTCATTGTGTGTTTTCCATCTTAGATGTATAGAGCAGTTTCAAAAGATTACTCAAAACCAAATAAGAGAGTAATGTTAATATTTTAGCCAAATTGGTTGGGGGAAAAAATGTAGTGCAGACAAAGCTCCTGAAATTAACTAATGTGGTTTTCATTATATTTTTTAAATACCTTTTTGCGCCTTCTAGTTTTGCCCTAACGTTCTGAATTCTTGTTCAATTCCATTCCCATCGTAAGGTCACTTAAGTAACTTGACAATCTCATTGGATCAGTGGTGCTCTGAAATGTGGATTATGATTATTCTGCCAAGAGCTACATCAATTTAAACTGCCATCTATCACCACTTACAACACCCCTCATTTCCACTTTTCGCCTAAAGAAAAAGACCTGTTTGTTCTTGAAAACTTGTGCACTTTGACCTCTGCAACATCCTGATTGTCTAATAATAATAATAATAATAATAATAATACATTTGGCATCTTGTTTTGTCTGTACTATCATTTTTTAAGGAAGTATTTTCTCTCTGACGTGCAGATTGGCAGCCTCCTAATTCCTCCTCTCCCCCCATAACCTTATTGAGAACATGGGGGTCTTTTTTATTCTTTATTTTTTTAACATTGTCCATTTACTAATCCTAATGTTTTAAAAAACCCAAAATTTAGAGGGGGGAGGGTGAGAAGATTAGTGTCTTGGAAAGGTAAGATTAGAATTCAACACATCAAGTCAGTGGTGACCAGAGAACAGCTTTCTTAAACACATATTCATGCTGGCAACACAGTCTTTCAAGTCCTTTGATAATTACTTGCCAAAAAAATAATAATCTGTTCCCATGTATAGAACACTGATGACCTTAATAATTGTACAATTTTAGGGACCTTTGATTGCAACGGCTTTTACAAATGGATACCATTGAAACGTTACACATGGTTGGTTGCCATCTCACTTTGAGGTATTACAATATATACCATTTGTATTTTATGCTAAGCTACTATGTCCCATATATATTTTAAATTAAGAAAACACCTTTTGATCTTCACTTTCTTTTTTCCTTGGCCTTTAATCATTCCTTTTTGCAATTGTTTATTTTAAAATCAATCTTGTGGGTTGGAAACTGGAAGAGAATCAGGAGCTAGAACCCAACAAAGTTAGTGTTTTTACATTTATTAAGCTTAGAGCAGTTGCTGGCATTCTTTAAAACCCAAAGGAATAAATGATGATTCCAGAAGTCTTTGGGGAAACAAATGAAGAAGTGTCAGTAGGCAGCATTGCTGTGAGGATTGCGGATTTGCTATGAATGCAGTTTTCTAAAAATAAGTGAGCACCGTTGCTTTATTGCAAAGAAAACCATAATTCATAATTAAGTACTGTACCAAATATTACAGCTATGAGATAACATTGTTACTAGTAACCATAGAGCAATTACCAAGATTAAAAAATTAAACCTAAGCAAATTAAATTTAAGACATTACCTTAGTATTTGGATCACTGCCAGTTTCCTACCCTTTTAACTGAGCTTGAGTTAATTACATGTTTAAAAAAAAATTGTTTGGCCTTTTGGCATATTCATTTTTGCAAATGAATATTCTTATACCTCTAATAGTGTAAATTAAAAAGTCAGTCAATACAAAATAAAAGTTATACCTATTAAACCATGTGTTTACCTTTGTAGTTTACATTTTTCTATACGGATACAAAATAAATTTAAATGTCAAATTTTATTTCTGTTGATTCTTAGCTAGGAATAAATCTGATCAGTCACATTTTAAATTTCAAATAAATCTATGGAATTAAAATCATAATTACAGAGGGGAGGGGGATTGTTACAGTACATGTGGAGGGTACTTAAATGTGTATGTGTATCTACCAATATATGCAAAAAAACCCTACCTAGAAAAACAACCCCCCCCCCCCCCACACACACACACCCCTTATCCATCAAGCCATGATCACCCCACAAAACGCCCATTGATGCTGGGCTGCATGATTTTTGTATCTAATAGAGATAGTAATAGTTATAAACTGATCAATGTACTATGTTATGATCTCCTTTAATGTATGACAAGAAATGGTCATGTGTATCTCCTGCATAAATGTGTATTTTAAATTTTTAAGAATGTTTCCTGAACTAATTTGGTCCACAAAATATAATTTTTATGGGGAGAGTAAAATATACAAGCACTCATTTTTAATCCTAGTTATTTCTGTTAACGTTATAGTGTGTGTATACACACAGACACACACGGTAATTGGCTTATATTTTAATAATAATAATAATATTTAATTTAATAATATTTTCACGATTGTTGTGTCCATATCCTTCATAAAGACAAGCCGTGGAGTTCAAAGCATGTTGGGGATTTTTAAAGAAACAGTAATTTGAACTAATAATGCCGCAAGACAGGAAATGTTAACAAAATTAATATATTGCAATCATCTTAAACCTACCACAGCACATCAACCTGTAACCATTATTTACTGGCCAGTGTTACAAGTGCAATCATTAATGACTTAAAAACAGAAATAGCTGTTAACACTGCTAATTACTAATTAAAATCGATTGGGGGGGGGGGATTGTCCGTATTATTAATTTCTCAAGGACTATTGAGTTTGAAATTTGTAATTGTGACAGTGCCTTCCAAAATACACTTCCACTTATCTCACTATGGTTTCCTCTTCCATCTGTGGGCAGGCTCCACTGCTCCAGCTTACGAGGGGCTGCTAGTATAGTGGTTCTCCACATGCCGAGGCCTTTCTGTAAAGCAAAAATCTCATCTTGATACTGAGATGGGATGTGATAGTATTTGAACTGGGTCTTTAAAACTTACATTACTTAATGTTTGTAATGTAATTTCCTGTCAAAGTTCAGCCCTTCTGCATACTCTGTGTGTGCAAGCTTTCAGGTCTGCCAGCATATCCCTCATCTCCCTCCTGCTGGACTACAACTCAGGAGACACCTGCACGGCAGCCACAGGTGTGATTTGCAGCTCGTGCTCTAGCTAGCTCACTAAAGTGAGGACACTGCAGCACACGCCCGCCTGGGTACGTACTTGCTTGTGCAGCCCATGCTGAAACCCACTTGCTTGTTTTTAGCAAGCTCGCTAGAGCAGTGGTTCTCAGACTGGGGTTAGGCAGGGATCTTCCAGGTGGTACATCAGCTCATCTAGATATTTGCCTGGTTTTACAACAGGCTACAGAAAAAGCTCTAACAAAGTCAATACAACTAAAATTTCATACAGACAATGACTTGTTTATGCTGCTCTACATACTATACACTGAAATGTAAGTACAATATTTATATTCCAATAGATTTATAATATATGGTATAAATGAGAAAGTAAGCAACATTTCAGTAATTGTGTGCTGTGTGACACTTTTATGTCTGATTTTGTAAGCAAGTAGTTTTTAAGTGGGGTGAAACTTGGGGTACACAAGACAAATCAGACTCCTGAAAGGGGTCCAGTCATCTGGAAAGGTTGAGAGGCGCTGCGCTAGAGTACATCTACACGAGATGCAAATCACACCCCTGCCTGCCTGCACTGTAGATAGACCCTCAATTGCAGGAGTGGTTTTTTATTTTTGTCATAATTAAAATCATTTCTGTAGTGAAGTTTAAATAATAATTACCCCCCTCTGTCCCAATCCTGGAAAAATTGACCTAGAAGAGTAGTCCTGTTGCACTCAGTTGGATTACTGACATACGAAATTGTCTGTCTGCAGGATCGGTGAGTTAGGTGTTACACATCCACTTATAAAAGTGATCATTCCGTTGAAATGTACCCATTTAAAAGTTATCATCTAGAAAGTACTTGAACAGTTTTAGAAATATGCATGTTATAAAGCTAGGTAAACTCTGTGACTGGTGCATAAGGAGATTTTCCAGTACTTCTGATGAATCTAGCAATATTTTATTGTTCCCAAATATTAGTGAACAAAAACCAAACAAACAAAAACCACCCTGTAAAAGTACAAAAGGAGCTTGTCAAAGGAGCACTGAATTTGAAACTGAGGTATTTACTTTACCTTTGTAAATGTATTTGAAAGAGAAGATCGATAGCTTAAATTCTGCTCTGCTATACTTTTCATTCCAGAGTAACCCCATAAACTTCAGTTATGTCACTCTGGATTTACACCATGTGATTTAGAACAGATTATGGCCCAAAACACAGGTGTCAAATGTTTAAGTAGGCTTCTCATTTTGATATTAAAAATTTTGCAGTTCCCGTGCATTGGCCCTTTGCCATGCCGACATCACCTGCTATTTACATAAACTGAATAGGTCATGTTTAGACTATCTCTGTTCACTTTTTGTATTTAAGTGATGTTACCTTTTTCATATTACACATATTAATAGTGGGTTTGATACTGAAAAGCACTGAGCTCCCAGTGACTTCAACAAGAGCTACTGGTCCTCAGCACATCCCTGGGTCAGGTCTATTATACGTCAAGGTTATACTGCGTGGCATTAATTGCACAAAATAACATACAAAGACCTGCCCAGGAATTCCACTGAGCTATTTACAAATATAGGTACAGAATAATCCCCGTGAGGAACTCCATTAGATTTGGGAACTTCTGTTACTCTCAAAAAAAATTGGTTATGTTATGTGTTCTTTTTATCCTTTATAGAGTATATCTGGATGTCCAGGCAAGACAGGGCGAAGTTTCTGAATGGTCCCATGTTCAGGTGATATCATCAGACTTTGAGCACTACATCATCACCAATAACATAAATAAACTGGAGGTGGCACTCTATGGACTTAGGTTGTTTAAAATCTCTCTCATCATCTCATGAATCTGCTGTACTATAAAAACAGCTTTTAAAATATGTATATATAATCCATTTCTCTTTTGTTTTATTTTCTTGATGGGTTCCCCCCCTTAAATCTATTTGAATCACATTTTTTCAAAGCATTTGACATACTCTCTTAGTCATGTAGTTCTAATTTGTGTATCTAGTAAAAGCCTAACCATAGCGTAACTGTTTATATTAAGGGGTTTTCTTTTCTTTTTTCCTTCCTTTTTACTTTTGTTTTATGTAGTTGTTGCTTAAAGGATGCTGGGATGATAACATGAGTCTCAGTCTTTTGGTACCAATTCTGAAACTGTAAAAACTTTTCAGGTGGAATTTTAGCACACACTGAATTAGAAGTAGAGCAAGAGCAGCGGGTGAGCTGAAGTCAAGTTTCTAGTTTGCGTTGTATGGGAGCTGAGAGGGTAGCTGAATAGCAGGATCTCTAGCCGTTCTTTTGATTTGTGATGTCTTTGTTAACCTAATTATATCTATTTTCGGCAATAAGGTAAGGACTGCAAAATTTTTTGTGTCCTTCTTTTTCTATAAGTGCTTTTTTTGGTTGAAAGAGGTGATATAAGGTTTTTTGAAATTGTGAATTCTGAAAAAAAAAAAAACTGTAAATACAATTCCATTAACTACATATAAACTATTAAGAAAGAGAAAGAGAAATACAAAATATTTTTGTGATGGAGTCAGTCTAAGGCAGTTTCACTACTAAATGGAAGAAAAAAAGTTTTAAACGTTTAGATCAACTGCCAGAGCTGGCCCATAAGAGTTAGATTAACACTGTTTAGCTTGCTCTGTAGGTATGTTAGACCTTATAACTGTACTAGCGTCATACCAGCATATTAACTAGTCATATGTGCACAGCTTAAAAGGTAACAGTTTAGTTATATTTTTTAATTTAAGAACGGCTTTTTCCCAAGACTGAAAAAGAAGCTACAATTTTAATATTTAAAGTATTTAAAGTTTGAAGCACACCTTTATTAGTCATTATTTTAAATTAGATCAACTTGCTGTCCAGTCATTTCAGCTGCTCTGCATGTCCTATAAAGCTCTGACAGAGAAGAGATTCCTCTTCAGTGTCGAACATGCCATAGGAAGAGCAGTGTTAAAGCTTGCATTATACCTTTTATCCATTGTTTTCTATATTAACAAATTAGGAAAGCAACCTTTTTATTGTTTGTTTGTTTGGAATACCTCAGTGCTACAAGTATCACCCTAGAAGCGACAGAAGATTTTAATTTATTGTAGATGTAAACAGAATTAAAAAATATAAAAAAGTATAAAACATCATTGCACTGTGACTGGTAGGGGGAAAAACTGACAGTTTCCTATTTGCACATGTTTAATATTTGGCTGTTATATATATGGTCCTCTGTTGGGGGAGGAAACTTATGAAGGATATTTTTTAATTTAATTTTTTTAATATTGGTAAATAGGCCTGCAACAGCAAAATAGAAGTACAACATGGTAGGTGGCATTAAGAACATACTGTAGTATGAATATATTTCTTCTTTTTTTAACGTAATATTGACAAGTTTTATTAATATTTTTTTAAATTGTTACGTTTATAAATTTGGTACTTTAGGTACAGCCAGTATAAGACACTGAATGCGACATTTGTTAAAAAGAGCTGCTGCACTCCTATTTTTGTAAATTTTACTAACAAGTAGACTAATGTAGACATTCAATAGACCAGGTAGAGCAAGGCATCTTTAAAAAAAACAAGGCATCATAATGCTATCTGAATGGGAAAAAAACCTTGTTTTTCTTGTTTTTTAAAAACGAAATCATGCTTTTTTTGTGTAATATTTTAGGTTGGTTTTTTTTGGTTTTTTTTGTTATTTCAGAACAACCAGGTTTAAGCAAAATGCTGGACGCTTTTTAAATATTGAGACTTGATCAAGTAATAAAATAACAGTTCTTTAAAAAATAAAAATAATAAAAAAAACAAACCAAATTCCCTGAGATCCAATGTATAAGTCAGGGAATTTTTTATTAATATTTTGTCAATGTTGATGACGTACTGTACTACCATTTGTTTTTCCTCTCCATTCCCTATCACCTCATAGAATATTCTTTGTTGATCATTGTTGTATGTTAATAGTGTATAAAATGGCTATCTTGTAAGAGTGCTGTCCTGATGCTAGTGTAGTGAATTTCCCCCCCCTCCTCTTTCTCTCTTCCTCTTCTAGTACATATTGGTAGGTGTATTGTAATTAAGGTTAAAAATTTAGATGTAGTTATTCAGATTTAGGACCAGTAAGGATAGAACTTTCTCTTATTTAAGACAAAAATGCTAATAATTTTGGGCAGTTTCTTCCTTTTTTCCCGTCTTTTTATTTTATTTTTTGCTGATCTGATGTGGTTTCAACTAACCAAAGGTCTCACAATGTTAAAAATGCTGGCAAACTCCTAAAGCATTTTGTAGATCCCCACCCTTGACTTTAAAAAGGGGGTGTGCCATACTACCTTAAATGCTAATGCTAGATATGCAAAACTGGATTTTTTTAATTTATTTTTTAAAAGAGGGAGGCATGGTATATTAAAATGATTTTACTAAGAGAAAAAAATATTTTTTTAAGAATGCTCAGAAGAAATTGATAATCTGTGTGAATATGTTTTAGATGTTTATATACCTTTTGAAAAGTCCCAGTGGCCCATAGCACAAATATTGTGGAACCTGATATGTTTTTGATGTGGCTACCTAGACTAAGGTTCACTTTAGTCCCCCACTCATTTAGAAGTCCATTTCGAAGGATTTTCTTTGTAAATTATTTTAGCACAAAGGTTCAGCTACATCTTTATTTTAGTCAAGCACAGTGGCGAATGCACTGATACAACTGATCTTGCCCATTTAGAACTGTTACCCTGGGAGTTATCAGAGAGAGACTCCTGCCTAGTTGTGCAAATGGGCAACAAAAAATAGCTCCTACTCCCCCATGAAGTCCACTATTAACATAGAGATGGGTTTTCCTGTCCCTGTCCAGACTGGGATACGCCATACCCATTTCTGGTAGACCTGCAGTATGATACAAAGTGCTGATACAGTGGGACAACTTTTGTTACTAAACACAATGTAAATTTTGGAGGGATTGCAGTATCGAGGGTAACGACCCTCCTCCCCCCACCCCAAAAAATAATATTCATTTGTGATTGACTTGATTAAAATGAAGACTGATCTATCTGTCCTTTTTGTTTTCTATACTTCATAATGTTCATTTTAATTTGAATTTGTAGCTTGGACTTTAAGGTAGCATGGCTCTGTTGCTGTAATTTTTTTCTTCATTGTACAGCAGTATACAGCTGGTGAATGTTACACATCTTGCTAGATTAGTTTAAATCATTGGGTAATTATGGGTAATAATGACCTGAAAGGTGTTCGGATTTTTTTTCTTCCCCCCAGCTATAAAACCGGTAATGCTATTTTGACCTTTAATGTGAATGAGGGCTAGTGACTTCAGCCACAAAAACCATCCTGTTTCATTCTGCCATTCACTCAATGCAACATAATCTATAATAAAGCAATATTGTTTATTACATTTTTATTGACGGTCAGCCATGGTTATATATGATATTGCATATGAAATTGTTTACAAAAAACACTAACTCATAGTTATCTTTTATGCTGTGGAAATGTCTCCTGGGTGGAACGTTTATGGATGATTTTTTTTTCCTCAGTGTTTTTTAAAAGCAAAACAGATGAGACAGGAAAATGAAAGTTAGTGTAAGTTTGGGAGACGGTGCATTGAAGACACACGGGCAGATTCTGTGGTCTGCATACATACACTGTAGAGTTTCATAAGTACAGAATCTAATTCAAACCCATTTTTGTGTGTGAACACTACATGAGGAGATTCTGTAAGCTAAGCAATACTTTAATACTGTAATAAAATTTACCAAAAACAAGTAGTTAAGAAAGTCAATCTAAGTGATCTGTTCACAAGTTTCCAAACAATCAGAATGTATTGTCTTGACAGAATTTCATTTCAGTGTAAAAATCAAAGCTAAAAAACTTTGACAAGAAGCAGGAGTCACCCATGTTATAAAACTGTATTCTGTACATACTCTGACACCACGTGTGGGATCTCTGTGTGTCATTTTGACTGTAGTGGATAGCAAATATAATTCATTATATGTTGTACAAGTTCTGAATTCCATCAGTAATAGAATGCAAGTCTAAGCATTTCAGGTGGTCATAAATGTACCTAAACAAACTATGGCACAGTGGCAGGCCTAGCCCTTCCTTTTATACTTTAGTATGAACTGATGAGAACTTTGGTAGTGACTTTTTTTTTAACTATATATACACACACATATACATATATCTGTATCTATATATCAAGCATCTTTCAGGTCTCTGTGTATGGCTTTCTAAAGCCCTGTTGTAAAATACTATGTGGATGGGGGTCTCTCACATCACAGATGTGGAAAGTATAATTTTATATTTGTATTTTCAAATAAATAAGTTTGTGAAAGGTTTCCATCCTCTACTGTGGTCCAGAAATCAATGTGTTTGTCTGACAAAAAAATAAAATAAACTGTTTTGAACAGAGTTGTGGAGTCCCCTTCATTATGAGTGAGTGTGAAATGTATTGGTGTATACCATAGGGTCTGCATTTGTTCTCATCTTTTCCCCTTCTGCTCTTACCTTAATATGTCCATACTCTTCATACACATTAGAAGCAGGTGGGCAGTTGCTGATTGTATGTTTTTCTGCTGTGCTTAGCTGGAACAATGAGCACAAAAATCTAGTTATCACCAAGAAAACAACCTTCATGCCATGTAAGTTCATGTATCCTCCCTAGCAGATGTGGGAAATGCAGAGCACCTTCTCTATTACATTAGAAAATGATGATACACTGTCTTTTGTATGACACAGTCTTAATCAAGGGGGAAGTTATAGTAATTACATAGTGGTATTTCTAATGCTCCTGCCTCCAGTGTGGTAGTGTGTATCTATTTCAAACTGCAGCAGGTTGAGGTAGAGTTGAATTATACATAATGATATACACAAATACCCATCTAGATTTTTTTCCTTGAGCTGGTGTGGTTTTAACAAACCATCTAGAGATACCTCTGTCTAGCTCTATGTAGAGAGAAAGATGACTTTTTCGCTATCTATGGGTTCAGACAGCTCACTACAGCTAGAATTATGTGAAGATAACTCTTTAGAGCAGTGGCTCTCACAGATAGAGAAGGATCTGTATAGATGTATATAGATTGCAATGGATTCTGTAGATGGGGTGGATGGCTATAGATGGATCTCTATAGATAGAGAAACGCTCTACTGATTAGAGGGCCATCTCTACGCCTAATCATAAATCTCTGTAGCTAGAAAATACTTTCTATAGAGCTAGATCTCTAGGCATAGAAATAGATCTAGATGGGGAGAATGAGCTCTCTCACACACTATGGGTATGTCTACACTACAGGATTAATCCGAATTTAGATAATTCGAATTTGGGAAACAGGTTGTATAAATTCGATTGTGCGCGGCCACACTAAGCACCTTAATTCGGTTTTTAACCACATTAATTCGGTGGTGTGCGGCCACACTACCCCATTAACTTAAACACAGTAATTCGGTGGTGTGCGGCCACACTAACCCTAATTCGAATTAACAAAATCGATTTAGGCGCTACTCCGCTCGTCGAGGTGGAGTACAGAAATCGATTTTAAGTGCCCTTTAATTCGAATTAACTGGCTCTGTAGTGTGGACGGGTGAAGGGTTAATTCGGATTAACGCAGCTAAATCCGAATTAAAGTCCTAGTGTAGACCAGGCCTATGTATAAATATTGATATTTGCCATTGGAAGCCAGATTTCGCCATACAGTCGGTATGTACAGGAAGCACCATTACTTAAAATGGACATTTTTCTGCCTGTAGTAGTTACATGTTTGATTGCACCATGGTCAGACTAGGAAAGTCATGAGCATCCACTTTTAAAATTATTCCGATTGTATTACATTTTGCTGGTTGAACATACAGACTCAATGCTCCTAGCTCTGTGAAATTCAAGCTCTGGGGGATTACTTTGCCCACCTCTAACCTGCTTTTTTTTAAAATAGGTACCTGCATCTCCTCAGGGAGACTTGATATTTTAAAATATCTGTTATCCTCACTCACTCTCCTGCTTTAGTAGGAATTGTGTTTGACTAATTGGAAAGGACACAGTTTAACTGATTGTGTACAAAATCTGTTTTCCCCAGGCTTTTATCTGACTCTGTAACAGAAGTTTAGTGTCTGTTGGATACAGGCAGGAGCATTCTTACAATTTCTTTCCTCCAAAGGTGAATCTGCTATAATAATACTTTATGCAATTATGGAGCTGGATATTAACAACAGAGAAAGAAACGAAGCTGTTAAATTTCTTGGTCACAGCAAAAGAGAGTGGCAACTGGCTAAGAGACCAACTCAGTTCTCATTCCTCCACGCTTGTGCTTTAACCACACTACCTCCTTTCTCCTCACTAACCTTTGCTTTTTATATCTATTTGTGTTAGTTTATGGCTTATTTTAAAGTCATTTTGGTATGGGGAGGTGTCTTATGTGCTCTCAAAGCAAGGCCTGAAAAAAATTCATCTGCCTGGGGGAGGAAGTAATGTGAGTGTATGCATGCATGCACCGGTAGAAAATAGGAATTGATAAATTGACATACCATATCCAATGACTCATCCAGTCTCCTGTCTCCAACAAGGGCCAGTGCCTGAAAGCCTGCTGTGGGAAGTGATGAAATACAAGAGGGAGAGCTTGATGGGGGTCAGACA